TGGTCAGTCCTGTTCTAATAAAAGATGATCACACTGATTTGCCAAATTATCGCCTTTACTTTTGTTTTTACTTTTCCTTATCTGGTCTATGTTGTTGGTCAGGATCCTAATCCAATTTTACACGTTAATTATGCCCTGCGGAGAGTTTTACATTCTTTTCAATATGTATACAACTGTTGAGAACCTTTTTTTTGTTGTTTCCCTTTTGTAGCCAAACTGTGCTTGTCAACCCTGCACCTGTACGGCGCCGCCGCTTGGTTGTTTATTCTGATGAAGACGAACCTGATGTCCCGCTGGAACTGCAGGATCCTGATGTCGAACTGCCATTGCAAGAAGACCCCATTAGCAACTCCTTACTTGCTGATGTTCCTATTGTTGACACTGTTTTAGCTACTCCTCTTGTTACTGTGCAAGAAGTTCCAGTGATTCCTGTCGAGGAAACTGATCCTGCGAGGCCAAAGCGGCTCAGAACACCGTCTAAAAAGGCCATTGAAGCAGCTATGGTTGTTTCTAAGGGGAAAGCAAAGGCTCCCAAATCGTCTGCTAAAGAACCTGCTAAGAAGCGACTGTTTGATGGTTGACTATGATTCGCGGAAGCAAGTCTGATGTATCATTTCCTGCAGTGCCCTCCTTTCCTTGCTTTAGTATAACTGTTTCAGGGAAACACTATTTTGCAAGTGGTGCATCATGTATCTTTGCCTCTTGTATAGTTTTGCAAACTTTGGCTGCCTTTTGGGGTGTCATTCCTGACAACACAATTGCCGCTCTGTTTACTATTAAACTTGCCTGCTATTAGCTTGCAGCGCTGTTGCATATTAGTGATTTAGCTTTTGTTTTAGGCTCAAGAACTATGTCGCTGATGTATACCGACATTTGTTCATGTACTTTTGGGGGGGGGTTAATAGATCGTACCACTCTTCAGTGAAACTTTACTTTTGTAACAGATCTGTTGCTCTTGTCATCCTTTCTTTGTTGTGCATTGGTTTGCCATTTGGACCAAGTTCTTTGGTCCTTTGATCTTTGCATTATGCTCGATTATTGCCTATCTTGCTTTTTAGTCATGCTTGGCCATTGCCTGTTGTCAATGGCAACTTTTACCACCAAATGATACCCATGTTTTGTGCTTGCAGGGTATTCAGGTTGCGTGCTACCCAATCAACGTTTGCCAATCTGCACAATTGTTTCCTAATAAATCAAAAAATGTCTTCTGTTTTTAATCATACTCTACTTCTAATCTTATTTACTAGATATTTCGATTGTGCACTAATACCTGTCTCTGCTTGCTAGCTTTCATAGACTTAAATTATACAAAAGTTTTTAATTAATTGCCATCATGCATTTATTGTTCTGACTGGCCTGTCTACTAATGATACCTTTATGTTGCATGTGGTATTATTATAATTTTTCCTTGGAAGGATATTTTACCTCAGCAAACCATTTGCCCTGTAGACTCTCTTCTTCCATAACTGCTTGCCATTACTGCGCCTTCATGATCATTCTGTCTCAACCCTTGGTCATTCAATAACATTCTCTGCTACATCTGCTGCAACATTAACTGCAGCTGTTGTTCCTTTTAAATCCTGGCAACGGCGTTATTCCCCTGTGCCTATGTAGAAAAGGTGTAATGGTTAGTTTACTCAACTTCTTCCTTCATCTTTCCACTAGAATCGGTTCTGTACCCTTGTCACTTTCTCATATTTGTACAGTCTTGCTTTCTGTTTAACGTCTCTCTGTATACATCAGGCTACTCCTAACCAGGCTGCACTGCTGGTGTCTGGTCGTTCTACGACCAGGAAACGGCGTCACATTGTTCTTTCCTCTCAATTTGTGCCTGCTACGCCTCCTTCGAGACCTTCTGTCAGGCGTCGTGTATGTAACTTCGATAGACGCGGACGCTTGCACCCACTGCTTGACTCAGAAGATATACTTGAGCCTTGCGAACGGGACTTACCAACTCATGACGACTTAACAGGAAGGGCACACACTCCCTCTGATGTTCCGTTGCCTAATTTATCTCCTCCACCTTCACAGCAAGCAGAATTCAGTAGAACTATCAATCATGGTTTTCCTGATTGTGAATGCCAATACTGTGGTGCACGGTTCTGGTATGAAGAGCGGCTTAACAGACATGCATCTCTTGCTCCTGTTTTCACACTTTGTTGTCAGAAGGGTCGAGTGCGCCTGCCATTCCTGCAGGAAACTCCTCAGTACCTTGAAAACCTTTTGGGTGTTAATGGTGGTCCTATGGCAGCACATTTCAGGGAACATATACGCTCCTATAATGTTGCTTTCTCTTTCACATCCTTTGGAGCACGTCTCGATCCAAGAGTCTCACAGTCGCGGGGTCCTTATTCATTTGTAATTTGTGGAGAAAATTATCATCGCATGGGATCTCTGCTTCCTGCTCAAGGTCAGAGACCTAAATATTCTCAGCTCTACGTCTTTGACCCACAGACTGAACTAGCAGATCGACTGTCCAATTTTTCTTCTGCTGAAAGGTCCCTGCGTCCAGATATTGTTTCTGGTTTGATGAAACTGTTTGATGTTACAAATGAACTTGTTAAGTCTTTTAGGCGCATTCGTTCTGAATTGACTGATCCAGCGTCGTTCAATTTAAGACTGCGTATTGTTGGTGCTAGAGATACAACATCTCGACAATATGAACTTCCAACTGGTTCGGAGTTGGCTGGACTCATTCCTGGTGATTTCTTGCCTGATAAGGAAGGAAGAGACATTATTATCGACCATCGTTCAGAAGGGCTAAAGAGGATCACAAGTGTTCATCCGAAGTTTGATGCTCTACACTTCCCGGTTCTCTTCCCATACGGAGAAGATGGGTTCCATGTGAGCATACCGTATGATCCTGTTCGTACTCCCAAAACACTTAAGAGGAAGCATGTAACTCAAAGAGAGTACTATGCTTACCTCCTTCAACATAGAGATGACGAAGGCCAAACATTGATGCGTGGTGGGAAGGCACTCCAACATTACGTGGTCGATGCGTATTCCACAATTGAGCAAAATCGACTTTATTACCTACGATCTCATCAAGAAAACCTCCGTTCTGAACTATACTACGGCCTCACGGATGCTTTCAACAGAGGTGATGTTACAGGAGATAATGTTGGCCATGTACTTAGATGCAATTGTACTTAGATGCAATGGCTGTTGTCCACCATCATGGCAGTCCAGATCTGTTCATCACCTTTACGTGCAACTCGCAGTGGCCAGAAATAACAGAATCCTTTCGTTCTCTCTGTGGTGCACGCAGTGAACTTAAGCCAGAGATTGTTGCTAGGGTCTTCCGCATGAAACTGAATGCACTGGAAGATGAATTAACACGAGGCCATTTTTTTGGCCAGACAGTAGCAGGTCTTTCTCTTTGCCTTCTGCTTTTAATTCCCCTTTTGAAACTGTCTATTCTTAACTCTACTGTTGCCATCACCATATACTTAGTCAATTACTTTGTCGATTATACTTTATAATAGATGACATTTTTCATTGCCTTATAATTATAGGTATCAAAACCGTGGAATTTCAGAAGAGAGGTCTCCCCCATGTTCATATACTTCTATGGTTGGATTTTTTTGAATAAGTTGCGAACAGTCTCTGATATTGATGCAACTGTTAGTGCTGAGATGCCAGATCCACTCACCGATCCAATTGGCTATGATGCTGTGACAAAGTTCATGCTCCATGGCCCATGTGGTGAAGATAATCCGACCAATATTTGCATGAAAGAGGGGTCGTGTTCAAAGTATTTCCCAAAACAGTTCAATTCATTAACTACAACGGACCAGTTTGGATATACAGTCTATCGCCGTCGTGATACAGGTATAACAGCGATGAAAGGTACATCTATACTAGACAACCGCTTTATTGTTCCATACAATCGGAATTTACTTGTTCTCTTTCAAGCTCATATCAATGTCGAGGTCTGTCATCAAGGGCGATTGATTAAATATTTGTTTAAGTACATTACAAAGGGGCCAGATAGATCCATGGTGCTTGCTGAAACTGCTGGTTTGTCTGCCTCTCATTCTATTCTCCCAAACCAGATCCCTCCATTGGACGAAATTAAGCAGTACCTTGATTGTAGGAGTCTGTCTTCATATGAGGCAGCATGGCGTATCTTTGAGTTTCCAGTTCATGAACGAACGCCATCAGTTCAGCGTTTGTGCGTTCATCTTGAAGGAAGGCATTATGTTCCTTATAGGAAAAAACAGCGGCTATCTCGGATACTTGCCCGTGATTCTGTTTCAGAAACAACATTGACACAGTGGTTTGCTCTTAACCAACGGGATCCAACTGCCAGGGAATTACTCTATGCTGAAACTCCAAATCGTTACATCTGGAATGTCAAAACAAAGACATGGTGTCAGAGGAAAAAAGGGTTCTCAATTGGAAGAATTGTTTACATTCATCCTGGTTGTGGTGATACCTTCTATCTCAGACAGCTTCTTACCAAAGTCCGTGGGTCTGTTAGCTATGCACATCTTAGAACAGTTAATGGATTCCCATGTCGAACGTACCAGGATGCATGCCAACGTCTTGGTCTTCTATCTAATGACGATGAATGGTTGCTTGTTATTAAAGAAGTTAGTCAGTGGGGCATGTGTCGCCTGTTACGATATCTCTTTGTCTCCATGTTGATGTTTTGTGAGTTATCAAACCCGCTTCTGCTTTTCAATCAGACATGGGAGCTACTTTCCGAGGACATCACATATAGGTGCCAACGAGATGTTTGCTTCAACAACAACCTCATACCGCCTGAACTTCCTCGAAATAAATTGTTGTGGGAGTTGCAGCACATGTTGGATGCTTATTCGACTACATTATCTCACTTTAATCTCCCTTTGCCAACAGATGGTCCTCCACAAACTGATCCCTTGCTTCAGTATGGAACAGATTCACAGTCTTCCTTTTTGCCGACTGTAGATGACCCATCTGCTGTAGTTGGTAGTCTGAATAGAAAGCAACTTGAAGCTTTTAATTTGGTTATGAAATCTGTTCTGTTCACAGCTGAAGATTCACCTACATTCTACTTCCTCTATGGACATGGAGGAACAGGCAAGACTTTTCTCTACAAAACTATTCTCGCACACCTTAAAGAAGCTGGAAAAATAGTTCTGGTTGTTGCTTCTTCAGGAATTGCAGCAACATTACTTCCTGATGCAAGTACAGCTCACTCTCGGTTTAAAATACCACTAGAAATCGACCATGGTTCTTCGTGTAATATCAAAAAAGGTACACCATTGGCTCAGTTGATCATTGATGCATCGCTTATAATATGGGATGAGGCCCCAATGGTTCACAGGTTGTCTTTTGAAGCGGTAAACAGAGCTTTTTGTGATATTATGGATGTTCCTTTTAGTGGTGTTAGCTTCAAACCATTTGGGGGAAAAGTTGTTCTTCTTGGAGGCGATTTTCGACAAACACTTCCAGTAGTAGCTGATGCTGGCAGAGAAGAAAGTATCGATTCATCTCTTACATGTTCCTTCCTATGGCAACATTGCACTATCTTGCACTTGACGGAAAATATGCGTGTAGTTGCTTCCCGGGAAAGCGAGAGGTCAGCTTTTAGTGGCATGACCTTTACAGAATGGACTCTTGCTGTAGGGAATGGGACTGTGCCAGGGAAATCATTTCCCTCTAACCAATCTGCCGATTGGATAGAGATTCCTGAATCGTTACTACTTCCTTTTACTGAAGATCCTATTCGTACAATTTGTTCTACAGTGTATCCTGATTTTGCTCAGCGGTACCACAACGTGTCGTATCTGACTGAAAGATCCATTATTACACCAACAAATAAGAATGTCACGGAGATAAACACTCATATGCTTGCTCTTATTCCAGGAATGCCACGCACATATTTTAGTGGTGACAGTCTACATACAGATGCAAGCGATCCAGACCGACTTGAAGCAGAATATCCCACTGAATTCCTCAACTCCCTCTCTTTCAATGGCTGTCCAGAACATCAAATTGATCTGAAGGTATTTTCTCCAATAATGCTGTTGAGGAATTTAAACCCATCCATTGGTCTTTGTAATGGTACACGCTTGATGGTGCTTTACTTGGGCCATTATGTTATCAAGGGAATGATAATGGGAGGCACATTCAATGGTAGGACTGTGGCAATTCCAAGAATTGTGCTCAGTATCAATGATTACCGCTGGCCATTTGTTCTTAAACGACGCCAGTTTCCAGTACGGTTGTGCTATGCCATGACAATCAACAAGAGCCAGGGCCAGACCCTGTTAAATGTTGGTGTCTATCTGCCAAAACCAGTATTCAGCCATGGCCAACTTTTTGTCGCTGTTTCTCGGGTTAGAACAGCAGATGGTCTTCGATTCCTTATCGTAAATGAAGATGCCATCCCCTCCAACTATACCCGGAATATTGTTTACCAGGAAGCATTCGTTAACTTTCAGAACCCGTCTTCCTAGCTAGAGGTAGTTCTTTAAATCTGGTGCATTCAATGCTTTACAGTTGTTTTACTAAATTAGCTACTGTAATTACAATGTTCATCTTGGTGTTCGTGTTTGTTTGTGTCTTTGTCTTTCAGAGCACTGGTGTGTAGCTCTCGAACATAATATTCCTGGACTATCGTTCTTTCTTGCCAGGACTCTTCTGATAATAGGTTGGTATGGAATGAACAACAATTTGTCTTTTTAATGCACGCTTATCTACACTGTTCTGCTTACCCACACACCAGCTAATCCCTGTCTCTTTTTGTAGGTTCAGACTCTTTTGCCTTGGAACTGTTCGGTTCCTTCACTGCACGTAGTTCTTTTGGTTGCGGGATGCTCTTTCAAGAACAAAACCACTTGGTTGCTGCAATAGTATTTGCTTTTATTTCAGCTTCCTGCTCTTCTCTGTATGTTACCTTTGTACCATCCTTGTGAAATATTTGGGTTTCATTTGCCAATTTCTCAGTCGTGTTTGCTCTTAGGAGAGATTTACGCTCCACTGTTCAGCCCGTTCGCATTGTGGCCCATTACTGTGTTTTAAACCCCACGCGCAAAGAGCCTGTTGTGCCTGTACACTATCGTACAAACGCTTAGTGAGTCGTTCATGCGATTCCATTTTACCTGTGCTTGCCAATTTATCTCTTTTCCCGAAATTAGGTATGAACCTCAAATCGCCGATTTAGAACCGCAATCGCCTCTTAAAAATCAGGTATTAGGTCTTCTTGACCTTTCTTACCTGGTTAGCTTCGTCACTGCCGCTCTGTTAGCTGTCTGGATCATACGTTTCCTTTTATTCCCATATTTTCCCACCGTTTGGTCATCTTCCCCATCTTACCTCTGTATGTATTTGGTTCTTATAGGCAGGAGTTCATAAACTTACAAGGATAAGCATCCTCGCAGCCTGAAATGTCAACGAATATGCAAGGTTTGACTCAAGAGAACTCTTCTTTGCCCTATTTATTTCTTTTAATCGACCAGAAGTTGTTGTTGACGCGTAAAAGGTTCACTATTGACACTCAGTGCTTATTAGATCCAGTTAAAGGTTCGGTTGTAGTTCCAGAATTACGTCAGGGAGAATTTCCATTTCCTATTCTTCTCCGTTTGCTTCATGTATGGAAATGTGTGGATTCTACTACAGCCCGGCATTATCCTTGCATGTGTACTTTATGGGTCGATAAAGAGGTCAGTTTTTGCTAATTTGGCATTTCTATTCCAGTTGGACAGTGTTAATGCTTTGTTTCCGTCCAGGGAAATATTATAGAAGGAACAACAAGAACAGGGCATGTACAGTTTGCAGAACAAAAGTTCAATATAGGTGACATAGTACAGTTTGAAAATCCAGTGATCATTCAAGCGAGGCCAATTCGTCGTTCTTCCCCATCTCCTGTTCGGCTGGAAATTGAAAGTGACACTATCTTTCGTGTGATTCCAGAATACGACCTAAGTTGCTCTTTTCCAACAGAAAGTTTTAACACCATTGAATTTGAAGATTTGAAGCATGCTTGGTCGAACAGAACAACTTTACCAGGTTTATAGTTCATCATCATACAAGTTTCTTATATATAGAAACAAATAAACTGACAGATTCGGGTGCAGATCTTACAGGACGAATACTCTCCATCTCAAGACCCATCCAACGACAAAATGATAAAATGGCAGTGCTTATCAGACTACAAAATACAAGGTACATATTCTTATTGGATTTATTTTATTCAGTCTCTGCAGGCATGTATTGCTTATGATTCCAATTCCATATTCCGCAGAAGTGCAACTGTCATTGTCAGCTATGAGGGAACATACTCTGATTTGTTTACATGGGCTGAATCAATGGAACTGTCATGTCCAGTTGTGGTTACGTTGACGAGCATATCAGTAACTAAATCTAAGACAAAATGTATGTCCTATACATGTTTTTTACTTAGTCAGCCTGTGATACTTTACTTTCCGCTTCTTGAAATGCCCCTGATGCATTTATTGTTGCTAATGCAGCTTCTTTTGCCCTGAGAAGCACACCAGCTACTAGAATTGTGTATGGTTCGTACACAAATGGATGCAAATATATCATTGACAGGTTGTTTACAGTCGAGCATGCATTAACCAACAACTTAATTTCAAACATACACTAATATGAATTCTTGACAACTTGTCTTTTAATATAGGTTTTACCATGACCATTTTCCGATTATGGTTCTCCCTTTTCAAGCAAAACCTGAAACAGAATACCTAAGGCAGTCAATGCCTCCCCAGGTCATGATGACTAGGCTTGCCCGCTTGGTTGAATGTGATGACCTTGCTGTTTACAACCAGGTTTGTACTTGCACAATTTAGTTTCCAAGAGTGCTATCTCTTTTCTCCTTTACCAATATGACTCTTCTTTTCTTTACAAAAAAACAGTGTGTCTTTTTGTTTCTCGCAAAGATTGATCATGTCTTACCATATGAAGATATCGTAGACTTCAGCAAAGACCCATGCAGGTGCTCTTGCCTATACTTGACAGTACTTCAGTATGTTGACCAGTACATCTTTATGGATCACATGATACTATCGTATTTGTTCAGGTTTTGCCCAATCGTCCGTTGTATTGACATGAGGGAATCATGCGATTTAGCTTTTGGGGATGCAGCAGCACAAGCACTTTTCAAAATGACTGCTGATGACTTTTCCAAGCTCGATTGGCCTGCCAAGGAACAAATCCTTGAAAGAGTACAGGGGGCACTTTTTAACTTCGAGATTTATGTTCGCAATTCAGACATAACCCACCAAATGCTTGTTCGTACTCTCTTGAGTCCATTGTGCACGACAATTCCTGACACTGCACTGTAGAAGACTTCTATTGCTCAGTTGTTTCCAATGCTATGAACTGATATGTTCCTATTTTTATGTCCCCCAAATAACTCCTTTATGTGCCTAATTAGGGACTTGATATTGCTTCCCATTAACTTTTCCCAAATAGATTCTCCATCTTTTTCCGAATCTACCTTTTGATTGTTAGTTTGCTTCCCGTACTTGAATGATTCCTTTATTAAGTAAGCATGTTGACAATATTGACCAATGCGGCCGAAAATCTACTTCAATACGCTGTCTCAATGATGTAACTATTTGATATATCACAGTAATCGACAACTTTTTCAGGACTAATGCGTTCATATAACAACAAAAACAATATAGTGACACCGAATAGTTGCAAATACACAAAGTTACATTGTCCGAAATCCACCCATTATAACCTCAACATCCTAAACCTTTTTGTGATCTACAAATACAAACTTATTTTGCCATTGGGTTGCCCATTTCACCAATATGACACACACATTTATGGGCCTTGAGGTATGGCCACTGTAGGCCACAGAAAAAATCCAAAAAATACAAGCCCAATTCATATTTTGCTGGTGCTCGCAAAAACATGCCCTCTATATGCTGATTAGTCTCTTACCTTCAATTTAACTTTACTTCCGCTGATGATCAAAAAACGAGCTGATTAGTCTCTTACCTTCAATTTAACTCTATACCATCATAAACCCAATTGTCATACCGGCTAGATCTGAGCGCCGCACTGCACCTTCTGATCTGAGGTTGTATTTCACAAAGCAGGTTTCCTGTAAAAAAATGCTTGAGTATCGCAGTACCATGCATTTTCCAGATAACTCTTTTCTGCAAATTCCTTTCAATGTCAATGCTCCTGCTATAAGTCTTCCAGTATGCTATTCAGGTACTCATTCTTCTTCTCGGTACCTTCAAGTCACTATATAATTCTCAAATGAACAGACACTCTGTATTTATTATGCACAACACATAATGAATGAACATATAACTGAATAGCTTTGGTTAATCCATTATCCAGATATTACTGGGTGTGTGACACACATCACCAAACCAACTAGAGTGAATTCAGAAATATCAATGTTACAAATCCATCTTGAAGACATGAGGTATCATGTATAAATACTTTCTCTTATGTTATACTGAGTCACAAATTAGTCTGAATTGTTGCTTTTAATATGTTTACTGATTCTATAGTGGAAAGAAGGGCCTTGTGAGCTATATTGGCACAAGAGTTAAAGAATTCATTCGAAGTGCTGAGGTCAGAGAAGCTCATTTCCCTTTGATTGACACAGCAACAGCACTCACCCAGAACGTGCCCGAAACTGCTCATATGCCGCCATTCTATTTCGTGACATCTCCTGGAAGCCGCTTGATTGTGCATCCGTACAATGAAATGACCAAAACTATTATGAACAGGCACCCTACTGCATCTATATATTACACACTTTTTATCTTGTATATATTCTATTTCTAACAATTTCTTTATCCAAACATTCTAGGTTCTTTTGGAACAGGCTGCCCGTCGATATCATTACATACACCCCAGAGGAGCGTATTGGATACCTTCGGCGCAATATTCCTCCCAGAATCTCATTGTTGGAGATAAAGAACAAGGTTCCTCTTGGCGAAGCAGAAATTGAGGTAACTATTCTCCACTCTAACATATTACTGTACTTACGTACACCAGCAATATCTTTCTTAATCTGTCCTCATTTAGACAGTTTTTAGCAATACTTCCTAATGCTCATGTCTTCTTCTTTTCCTAATTATAAATTCTGAACAGATACCTTATCGATGCAAGCTGAAGATAGTTAGATTCAACCATAATACTGGAATACGTACAGCTGTTCCTGGAGATGCTGAGTATTGCCGAAATACCTTTACGCTTCTGTTTATTAGTATTACATCTTTCCTTTTATTTACATCTATCCAAACTTCATATGTTACAGATTATACTATGAATTAGAAGGTGAATGTGAATCTGGAAATCACACAGCAAAAGTCATTCTTGATCATGAACCTGCTCTTGCTCTGATTCGCATGCCACCGTCCGAGTTCCAGGCAATGGCATATGAAGAACAAGTTCATTTACTCAAAGAATGCTGCAACATCAAATTCATGGCAGAAATATATATAGCTGGAACAGAATTTTA